GACGGCCTCCTTTACCCATGGTCCACTTCGTTCCTCTACATGTTTCCCCCCCTGCCCCTACTCCTCAGAGTGGTCAGGAGGATTCTTGAGGAAAACGCAGACGTCATCCTCATAGCGCCCTGGTGGCCAAGGCAGCCGTGGTTCTCCACGGTCCTGGAACTGTCGGCCGGGATGTATCACCAATTCCCACTGTCTCCAGACTTGCTCCACCTGTCTCAGTCGCCTGTGCTCCACCACAACCTTCCGCAGCTCAAGCTGACTGCGTGGCGGATACAGGCCCGGCGTTCTCGTCTCGTTTGATTGAGGTCCTCATGAACTCCCGTAAAGCGTCCACACGTCAGTCATACGATTACAAGTGGAAACGCTTCTGTTCCTTTTTGGACACTGACGCCTTTACAGCCACAACTGCTGGCCTTGATAAGGTTTTTACGTTTATCCTATCCCTGGCTGACTCGGGGCTTACCCACTCCTCGTTGAAGGTTTACCTGGCCGCGTTATCGGCCTTCCATGTTCAAATTGATGGTTGCACCCTGTTTTCCCATCCCATTACCAAACGTTTCCTGAAGGGTTTGCTACGTTTATACCCTCCAGTCAAAGCTCCAATAGCTTTATGGGACCAGTCAGCTGAAGCTCCTGGTGTGGAAGACTGCATTCCTCGTCGCCGTCACCTCGGCCAGGCGAGTCGGTGAACTCCTGGCCTTCCGTCATGACTCACCATACTTGTCCTTCCTTCCGGATGGCGTCTGCCTGGTGCCGGACATTTCATTTTTGCCCAATGTGGTCTCTGAATTCCATCTGCAGTCGGAAGTCTTCCTCCCTGATTTTTATCCCGACCCAAAATCACAGGAAGACAGACTTATGCACACTCTAGACGTGAAGCGGGCCCTCCTCTTCTACCTGAATAGGACACGCTCTACCAGACAAACCCCTAGGCTGTTTGTCTCATACGTCACACCCCATATGGGCACCCCAATCACTGCCCAACGTCTATCCAAGTGGATAGTAGGTCTGATAGGGTTAGGGTTAGGTTTTATCATCGGCTAAGCAGTAAACACCTGACAGCACCTGCCTCCAGGTAGGCTACTGCTCGCTAATCTCCCATTGGTGTGAAGCACAGAGACCACGAAGAAGATAAACAGGTTGCTTACCAGTAACTGGTGATCTTCGAATGGTCATCTGTGCATTCACACCACCCGCCCTCCTGCCCCGCTGCTGTCTTCTTCTACTTGTTTTGTTAGGAGATTGATGCGCGGCGGTTGGTAGGAACTGGCGGGATGTCCGTGCCTGCCCTTCTGGGCATGCTCACTGGGGCTCCTGAGCATGCTCAGTTGGGACAGGCACGAAAATCCTTGTAAGAGAGCTTACTAGGCACCGGCAGATCCAGCACAGGTGCACTAGATCCCATTGGTGTGAATGCACAGATGACCACTTGAAGATCACCAGTTACTGGTAAGCAACCTGTTTTTACCTGTGACATATGGATGCAAATATGCAGCTTAACTAGAGTAAGTTCTCTCGCCACAAACCAGGATTTTAAACTAAGGTTTAATTCAGGTTTTAAATCCCAGTTTGTGGAGGGAACCCTACATAGCAGGTAACCAGTTAGTTTTCAGCCTGGATTCCTTCATTGCACTCCATTTGAGAGGGTGCGTGGGCAACAAACCAAGTTCATGGATGTTCAGGCTTAACGTTGGCTTGATGTGGCATTTGTAAACACCATCTGTTTTTCATGTTCACCTTTTGGGGTTTGTATAACAGCTGTTTCACTTGCAATGCAAATGCTGCTCTTAAACTTATTTCCCTCAAGTGCTTGGTTTTCTCCATGTTGTCATGATAATATCCTGGTACTTGGATATCAGTTTGCCTTTGTCTCAAGCAGCTCCGTTTGTTTGGTGTCCTTCAGGGGCGTGGGCTTCAGCTTCCTCTTTGCCTGGGCTCTGATGCTGATAGTAGTGGTCGCATTTGTTGCGGGTGGAAATGTGGAGAAGTTGGTCTGCGAGCCCTTTGAAGACAAGACATTATTCAAAGTAAGGTCCTCCAGATCATTAAGTGATCCAACCACAAAACACCATTCTCCATATCTGATTCTAAAATTGACCTGTCTCTGCATACATGTTTTTTTAATATAATGTTTATTTTCAATTTTACAAAGTACAATCATACATATCTTAGTATTTACGTGAATAATATTCTTGAGTCTATTATTTATTCTTTTCCTTTATCCATTTATATACCTTAGCCCATCTTTCTTGAAATACTTTATCATCTTTCCCTTGTAGTGATACACTTTATTTGTCCATACATTCTGCATACATGTTGATGAAAATGATGATACTTTGCATTTAAGGCACTTTATAGACACTGTCTTATTGGGCTTTTCCACATACTCATTTTCCTTGCTTGTAAGTTCCTGTTTCTCTGGGAGGGGGTGTCTGTTCCACATGTGTTTTGCTCCTTCTAGTGATTGATTTGATATTACATCGATTTATTCCTCGCATAAAAACCTGCAGTTTAAGTCCACGGGAAGATATGCCAGTCATAAACCAGTGAAATATCAAATTGACCACTAGAGGGAGCAAAACATTGTGGAACAAACCCCCCCAAAGAAACAGGAACTTATAAGCAGGGAAAATGAGAGTGTGGGAAAAAACCCTATCCCTGCATCAGTCCTAAAAAGTAGGTCATTGTTGTTATGCCCATACTGCACATGTAGGGTTAAGGCTGGGTGGGTGCTTGTTTAGCATCATCTGTGAAGTTTGTGTTATAGGTGAGATCAAAGCTCTGACCTTGCAGTTACTGATTCAGTCACTTACCTGTACATTGTACCATCTGTAAGTGGTTTGTAGTTGGGAAGTAAGGATGGGAAATGTTAAGTGTTCTTCCTGAGGGGGAGAGAGCCGAAATTGGCAACGGGGAGAAAAATGAATTCACGAGTACTACAAATTATGACCCTGCAGGAAGTGTTGCAGTTCTAGGGGAGAGGGCATAGCTCAGTGGAAGAGCTTCTGCTTTGCATGCAGAAGGTCCCAGATTCAGTCCTAGTTAAAAGGACCAGGTGGTAGGTGATGAGAAAGACATCCACCAAAGACCCTGAAGCACCACTCTCAGTCTACATAGACAATACTGACCTTGATGGACCTATGGTCTGACTCAGAATAAAGCAGCTTTATGTGTGCACTCTTGGGCTCTCCCCTGCTAGTTGCCATTAAGCAGAGACTAGCGAGTGCTGAGTGCTAAGGCCATATTCCAGAAGAAAGAGCAGTTGAGCAGAGAAGTCCACCTTTTGCTGGTATCTCTTCCTTGTAGCATCTCCCTCCTTTTTCCTTTCTGTACTGCCCACCACTTCAAGCTTTGTAACTTCAGCACTCAACAAGCCAGAGGTAGCTGCTGTTACCTGGTCAGACATACAGTAATGTAATATCAAACTGACCACTAGAGGGAGCAAAACATGCACAGAAAAGAAGAGCGCCCCAAAGCCATAAGTACACAAAAGCGAAGAAAATGAGAATGCAGAAGAGCCCATGATCCTGGACAGGGGCCACTCCAGGGAAGATTTTTTCTTCTCCCACCTTCCTCTGAAAAAAGTTTCTGCATGCTTACTTCCCTTTGTCAGCAACAGTTGAGGAAATTGTACTGTACAACACTGTGATAAATTGCTATCTGCCTAAACATTATGAGGAGCAGTGACAGATGACAGCATCACATCTTATTCTTCTTGCATAAGAATCTAAGGGGGACTTCAGGGAAATTCTGTAATCAACGCATCAAGGCTCAGTTCACAGCCTTAAAAAAGAGGGGAGAAATTACTGTACGGAAGACTCTAGCAGAGATGTTTAGATTTCGTGAGTAATTGAAGCTCCCAGGGTTAAAATGTGGAGAAAGTTTAAATCGTGTTCTGTTCTCTTGTGTTCCAGATTCTGGACACTCCCTACTTGCTGAATTGGCACTGGAAACACTATCTCTCTGGCATAATTCTTAAAAATCCAAATATTAACTTGACATTTGAAAAAGTTTACAGGTAACTCTTTCAAGTTTTTGTATTCTAATTTTGTTTTCTTTGACAATATTCACCATTTTGCGTGCATGAGATTGCTTGAAAACTGACAGGGGTGTGTAAACCTGTGGCCCCCATGGGTCCGTAGACCTAACCGGTAAACAGGAAGCAAGGCTTCCTTCGCGTGCTCAGAGTTTTTTGTAACTGGGTAAGAAGAAGATGGCCAGTGTCTTCCTTATTTTTAGTGTGTGTCCCTGTGCAAGCCTGCAGTATGCAGGATTCATGGGGCTTTTGCAAAGGGAGAAAAATGGGGATACAGCAAGGAGAATTCCCTGCCCCACAGCTTTGGGACCCTCCCCCAAAATCCAGGCATCTCGCTTGCTTCCTTTTGCAGCGTGATGCTTTTAATCCTGGGAGTTCAGTCATGGCTGGAAACTCTACTAGGAATCCATAATCGCTTGTTTTTGATTCTTAGCTTGACTTGAAATGTTCCAGTTCAGCAAAAGGTTAAAATGAGTGATTATGGATTCCCGGAGAGGCTTTTCTATCCTTCCCATGTATGTGGGTTGGTGAGTATCTTTTCCTGTGTCTTTCAAATGGGTGTCCAGAGGAGCAGGGGGATTCTTTTTCTATGGGCCCAAGAGAGGCCTGGCTTCATAGGATAGATGTGCATATTTCCCATTAACTGTTCTGCTGTACAAAAATCACAAATTATACAGATCAGAGTCCAGTCACTAGTATGAGTATGAGAGACCAAAGGAAACTGGAAGAAATGCGCTAAAGAAATTATAAAGTGTACTCTATATGAAAAAATTGAAAGTGACAATAACAATAAAGTAAATCTTCATAGATGAAATCATATCTTCATGCTCCTTTACTTGTTAACGAAACTTTCTGGAATTGCGTTATTTCGTTGTAGACACTTCTTCTGAGCAGTGTGTGTTCTTTTCTTAACAATATTTTCTCATCTGTCTCTTTTCTCATCTTTTCTTCATAAGGAATTTCAAACTACCATAAAGGTATTTGCTCAATACATCTCTCCGGAGCAGATGACAAATTGCTTGCAACTGCCCAGGAGAGATGTATTGAGCAAATACCATTAATGGTAGTTTGAAATTCCTTATGAAGAAAATGTCATCTTACGAGACAGATGAGAAAATATTGTTAAGAAAAGAACACATACTGCTCAGAAGTGTCTACAACAAAACGGAATGCAATTCCGGAAAGTTTAGTTAACAAGTAAAGTAGTATGAAGATAGGATTTCATCTATGAAGATTTGCTTTATTGTTATTATATCACTTTCATTTTTTTTTCATATAGAGTACACGTTATAATTTCTTTAGTGCATTTCTTCCTGTTTCCTTTGGTCTCTCATACTCATACAAAAATCACAGGAAGGAGCTTTATGAATCTGGGGCTGGCCTATCTGGTTTACCTTTCTGGACAAACTGAATTGAACTCTTGAGGTTGGCGTACAAAGCACACCATGGTTACACATATGCATCCGCTTCCCAACTGTAATGAGAGAAAACTTGCAGTATTGATCTTATGACCATTACATGCTGTCTACATACAAGTGTCGTGGTACACACAGCATTAGAGCAATTGTGTGAAATGAAAACTTTCATGACATCTTGTTGTATAACTTGGAAGACATTCAAAATGCTGACCAAAGAACTGGATTTATCTGCTGTGCTCATTTTCGCTGCTTGAGTCCTCTTGATTTGTGTGTAGGATTACAGTGTTCAACTTAAATGAGAAAGTGCCTGTCTTTTTGGAAAGCGCTGTTGGCTGACTGTAGGCGTTGTAATTTCTCAACTGTCTGGTTATGAAACTGACTAATTAGCGAAATACAAGATTTACATATTTTAAAATCTCCAGTGCCCTGTTGGAGGAAATGGTTCATCAAATACAAAATGTGCAGATGGCAAAATGCAAGCCGCCACTTGTTAGGAGAAGGGAAGGTCGCTGTTAATCCCCCCCCCCCTTCATTCCACTGGGGAATTTCAAATGTTATTTTAAATATAGTAACCCTTAGAGTCCAAATGGCTTTGGAGAATAAGCACATTCAAGACTTATCAAATATTATACATGGTTCAGGTTCAAGCAGTGTAGCAGCTTCATTTGAGCTGAATATTTACTAGGGGGAAGGAAAGCAAAATTAGTTGCCATCTTGAAAGTCAGAGTTGATGCCAACTTTGTTTGGTTTTCGGTTTCAGGATATTTGACACAGGGATGGAAGAAGGAAGGTTGTGTCTGTGTTGTTTGTGTACAACCCTTCCTTCTGGGTAGGGTTAACAGCTCTGGGTTGGGAAATACCTGGAGATTCGGAGGGTGGAACCCGAAAGGGGTGTGGCTTGGGGAGGGGAGGGGACCTCAGTGGGGTAGAATGCCACAGAGCCCACCCCCCAGAGCACCCGTTTCCTCCTGGGGAACTGATCCCTGTTGTCTGGAGATGAGCCGTGATTCTGGGGGGTCCCCAGGCCCCACCTGGAGGCTGGCATCACTACTTTGCTTTCATCTACCACACGGGAGAAATATTCAAACATGGAGGAACTTTCAAAATTGGAACTCACCCATAGACAAGCAACAGGAAGGGGTACAGCCTAGAAAAATCTTTACTGCTTGATTTTGCCAACTGTCTGTAATGGCCCTTAACAGTGCAGTCCTATGCAGAATGACCCCACTCTAACTCCATTGACTCCTGCCAGCCTAGCAGTTTGAAAGCAAGAAATTGTAAGTAGACCAGATGGGCGAGGTGGGGCCAAGGCAGAGGCATCCTCCAGAAGCAAAATATCTTAAGCGTTGTGTAGCAACAAACAAACTGCCTCTTGTCCGATTTTGCTGCTTGGAAGCATTTTTTTGTTAATCAGGGCAACAAGAAACGCCTGCCTGGCTGAAGGGGTCCTGCAGGGACAGAACATGCTCCACCTGGGGAGGAACGTGGGCTATAAATATCTTCAGTAAATGAAACCAGGGCTTCCCAGGATTGCCTTTCATTTTCAGAGTGGCCGGGTGTCAGAATCGGGCTCGGCTGGTTGTCTTTGTAGTTTACTTTCCTTTTCAAGCCGTTCACGTCTAGCCCTCTCTGTCATAAAATTCCGGAGGATGGAAGGGGCAGGTGTGAAGCCATAGATCTGTGTGTATGTGTGAAAGGAGTTAGATTAGCTTTGCTTGCAACATTTTCCCATGAGAACAACCCCAAGGGTCTGGCCATCATGAACATCTCACTCTTGGAGGAACATCTGCTGCTAGATAATAAACTTTGTAGTGTTCAGTAGTATGAAGGGGGGGGGAGTGAATGAGGGGGAGCAGCGGGTGAATGCCCACTACATGACCAGTGCATCATGGGATACTAACTTGTTGCCTATACAATGCTTAAACCTTTGATCTGTCCTTTAGTCTGAACAAGAGTTCTCTCTTGTGCATATCCAAATCTCTGTTTTAATAAAGCTTTTCTTTAAAGACTATTGGACTAAGAGTGGATTAACTCAGGGGTCTGACATCAGGGCTGTGTTACATGCATACACTTTCCCCCCCTTTCATCTTAATCAACTGAATGTCAAGAGATGGTTATAAGTAGAGTTGCCAGCCCTGTTCAGGGAAATTCCTGGAGATTTGGGGGTGGAGCCTAGGGAGGGTGGGGGTTTGTGCAGGGGAGGGATCTCAGCAGGATACAATGCCACAGAGTCTACCCTCCAAAGAAGCCAATTTCTCCAGGAGAACTGGTCACTGTCATTTGGAGATCAATTGTAGAAGCAGATCTCCAGGCCCCACCTGGAGGATGGCAAGTCTACTTCTAGGGTCCCACATCTGGGTACCTTTGGTAGTCAGCCTTACTTATCAGGGGGCATGTTTTTATTCTGCAGTTGAACGTATTTCATTAATTGCAGAATTAATTGATGGCAGCTTTTACACAAAGCTCTGTTGCGACTGTTCTGAGAAATGTATGTATTAGTCTCTAGCTGCTATCCAGAGGACACCTGGATGTGTCCAGCAGAATCCTAGCCTTTTCCCCTTCGGATGGCCGGTCTCTGTTGCTGTGCTGGGTTATACAAAGTTCTTGGGCCTTTGAAAGAAGGTGGCGATGGAAATGGCTGCTGGGAAAATAACGTGGATGTTGTTATTCCTGAGAAATGGATCTCGACATCGGGCATCTTAAACTCTGCCCAGCTTTTTAGTGGCAAATGTTCCTGTTTAAAATTGGTTTCCCTAATGAATGTGTCCATTACCTGTTTCTGTAGCGACTGCAAAGAGAACAAAGGGATTTATACCTCACTGCGCCTAGAACATCTCTTCGATATCTATGAATTTTTGAACGTAAGCATGGTAAGTTTGATCCAGGTTTTAGCTGCAGGTGTGTTTAGTGCAGTCCTTTTATTTGGCTTCTAACAGATAAACCAGGGGAAAGATAGTGCTTAGCTGCCAGCTCTACAAAGTAGCTGTCCTTCTCTGCCATTAGTTATAAAATCAGTTTTGGCTGGTAGAGAGACTAGGGATGGGCAAACCATGAACCGAACCGTGAATGCAGTTGGCTTGCATATGAACTGAACTGGGTTCGTGAGGTTCGTGCCCCAAACAGCTGTGCCATGGGCAGCCTGCTCTGGCAGCTCAGGTGATTTGGGCTCTAAACAGCTGAGCCTTGGGAGCAGGCTGCCCCCGCGACTCAGCTGTTTGGGCAGCTTTCGTGGGGAGGAGAAAGCAGGGGGTTGGCCCCTGATTTTTGCTCCCCATGAACCCTCACAAACCAATTTAAAAGTTCATGGAGGTTTGAGGCCAGGCTGCAGTTCACAAACTTCAGTTTGTAAACCACGAACCTGCCAAAAGTTGTCACGAGCAAAGTTTTGCAAGCCAGTTCATGCCAGTCCCTAAGAGAGACATTACTGAAGCCATGATGCCTGTTGATAATCATTTCCTCCGTCTGGGAGCTCAATAAAATACTTTTTTGCATTTTGAGATTTTAAGGCAGAATAATAATAATAATAATAATAATAATAATAATAATAATAATAATAATAATAATAATAATAATAATAATAATAATATGGCAGTGTGTGTAGTATAGCCAGGAGATTCTAAGATTGTCTGGCTGTCAGAAGTTCTAGCTCTTTTAGCGTTATGCACCAGTAGGTGGCAAGCTAGACTTGTTTTTTTAAGGCAAGAGACATTTCGGAGGTGGTTTGCCATTGCCTGCCTCTGTGTCACAACCCTGGTATCCTTGGAGGTCACCCATCCAAATACTGGCCAGGGCTGACCATGCTTAGCTTCCGAGATCTGATGGGATATGGCTTAAGGCAGGTTAAGGAGACAGGAAAGAAGAACAATGCATGGGGTATGATTATTATTAATTGGGGGGGGGATCACAGAATGTTATCTATGCAATATTGGGCTGTGTGTGGTCAGCTATCCCTAAAACATCTTCATCGGGGTGGGGAGAGCACACTGGCGTTTTTCATCTAGAATGCTCCCCTTTCTTCAGACAAACTTCAGCTTTAATACTAGTTAGCAGTGGCAGTCTCCGTCGATGACCGTACAGACTTGGCAATTTACTACTAGGACAGTCGACAAGAGGGACTAGCGACTTGACATTACGGGTGTTCAACTCTGGGATGTGTGGGGATTTGGGGGGAATTATTTCTGGCTATCT